AAATAATTTTCATTAATTGTTTTTGTTTATAAATATTTATTTTCTTTAGGAAATCCATTCTGTCCCTCGAGCGATTCGAATTCCGCGCTGCTCCCGCCGCTAGTACGCTGTGCGGCCGGAGAGGGCAGTGCGGACCTGGAGGAAACCATCGATGGAGTCCAGTGTACCAATTATGAGGCAGAAAAATTACCTGACATATATGCCCCCCCCCCCGTGGTCTAAGATTGAATTTTGGTCTCCATATAATGACTACATCTCTATCATACATGAAATCCGGGATTTGTATATCGTCTCTATCGCATTATTGAATCGGTTACAATTTGATAGAAAGCAGCATAAACGATTGTTCAATATAACATTGAAATACAGGTAATAGCTTAGAAATGCTTCCTGGCTTTCACTGTGTTCCATATTATGAACGAAAATATCTTGGTCCTTTTGTACTACTGACGAGCACATTTTTGTTTATTATTTTAATACGATGAAACTACTTTGCCGAACATCTTGTGTTATGCAGTTGGCAACGGTCGAATATATTCGATCCGCACTGTCTCTATTACCCTAAATTTTGTTTAATTGAGTTCGATCCTGAGCCTCTCGTTCGGCCTTTAAATTCGGATTTACTGAGCCCGGGCCCGATAAATCCCGGAGTTTGCATACTGTGGAGACGTAGTCATTACTATGCCTATAGTTTTGATGGATGTGTAAACAGGTTTGGGTAAGTATAATACGTCATGTAATATATGTGGTTTTCTACGTGTATATTAGAACGTATAATACGTTCCTAGTTTTCTACGTGATCGCAAAGTACATTACACCCTTCTCTTTTTAAATAGAAAATAACAAATTCAATTAGAAATTTGATATTAAACAGGAGGTTAAGCCGAAATAATTCGAACAGAAACGCCAAATTAATTATTTCTTAACAAGTTTTACGTGTTTATATGTGCGCCAGAAGACGTTAACCTCGCGAATACATATATCATGCATCTGTGAAATCCGCCATATTGAAAACGTAAAATTTTATACAATATTGAATACAGCGCCAAATTAATTCATTGATCCTTAAAATATTTCCGTGTTTACATATATGCTAAAAGACGTCTATAACCGAGTCGAAGCTGTATATCGTCCACCTGCCATATTCTTCATATTGAAAACGTAAGTTACTGGTTTCCTATGATTTTCTACGGTTAACTACTTTCTTATGCAATAGACGTCAAAAGCCTCGAGAAAAGGGGAATTACCCAACCCTAGGTGTAAGGCATCTCCCCACTCATCTAAGGTTTTATCTAAAGCCGGTGTTTTATTAACGTTACAGCGACAAGCAACGGAGCCACGAAACGCAAGTAAGAGGTTTTGATTGGCTGGTGAGACTGTACGGTGGAAGTTCCTTAATTCCGTTATTTCTCAGCAGCCAGTCAGAACCTCTGATTCGTGTTTCGTCGCTTCGTCGCTTGTCGCTGTAGCGCTAACGCAATATCGGCCTAATCTTTTTTAGTCCAAACATGGAAGTGTCGCCCCCATGAATATAGTTCAGTGAGGGTAACAGTCGAATATACAGTTGTGCCGCGTCTGCTTTAGATGATCTGTGAAACTAGTTTCACTTTTCTCTCTATTATTACCAATCTTTGTCGTCATAGTGTTACAATTGCTTTCAATAACCTGGAGTTTTGTACAGGATCTGCCAGGGGGTCAATCGAAACGGTGGGGGTTTAGAGAAGGCGGTACACAAAATTTTTCGGAATAATTGAATGGTGCGCATTATAAACAATTAGACGGATTGAACACGACCTAGCCCCGACCAATACGTTCGATCACAATCAATCGATTTGCGTATTACCTACTTACGAATTTTTCGTGAAATGCTGTCTCATGTTATGCACTTTACGTCACGGTAATTAAGATTGAGACGAAGTGCTGTGTTTTAATAAGGTTATACGCCAAAGATTGGGACGATAGTTGAGGAATTTAATTTGACTCATAGGAGCGCCCGTCAAGCCTGTAAAAAAAGCTAGAGCGATTTTTGGTTCGCACTGCTTTTCGTAATTACTGTAATAGTTAATTCGGGTTATCCGCATGGTGACGAATCCGACTCGGAACTATTCCCTGTACCGAATATTTACTCGTGCTAGTTTTCGTTTTCATCTTGGTTCTTCAAGCTTTTGTCCTATCATACTACTCTATTCTTGCCCTACATTGTTTTGGTGCACCTGTCTAAAACATGAATTTATAGCTTTTTTTTACTGACTATTTTATCTCCTTTTCGAACTGATTACGTAATTTTAATTTGCCTCCGGTGGAGAATGCCTAAACAGAAATTGAGGAAAATCACTAGTTTGCAAACAATGTGTTGTGTCATTGGATTTCCCTGAAGGTGCTGAAAATCTCTTATCAATTTAACGTTGGGCTCAGTTTGGTTATAAGCATTGCTTCCAACGTGTCAGGTATATTCCACGATATATTGTATTTCTTGTATAAAATTAATGCTTGGTATTTGCAGAGAAATTATTTGTTAAACAGCCTTTAAATTATCTCATTTCAATGTCTTATTACCAAGGTGTTCAATTATTATGATAGATTGATTTTTTGTGCACTTATACCCAAATGTTATTTTGTAAGCAAACAATAGTTTATCGTTAAATATTTGTTTACATTGGTGAAGATTCAAAGTGAAATTAATGTTAAGTTCAATTAAATAGTTTTTATTCTAAATATTCCAGGATAACATGGGTATAATGTCATTGCCTGAAGATGCTAATTCATTGGTGTCAAACAAATGCTTCAACATATTAACTTTTATTATTATTTTTTGCCACACTTTCTGACCTCTAAAATATAGAAGTTTGTTTGTATGAACATGAATACATTCTGTGTCCTGTGGGGTGTATATGTCTTATGCATTACGACAACATACGCAACAACATAAGATACGACAGCATACTCGTCATTTGTTTTGGAACTAAATGTGTAAAGCTACAGACTGAATGCTGCAATTCCTTCTTTATAGAGCCCTTAGGGCACAAGCACAGCAAGATATACATGTGGCTATGTAACACTTAATTTCTGCGTCAAGTTGAGGCTAATGAAAAAGTCAATATTTAAATTTCATATATTAGTGTAAAAACTTACCCAGGAAATGCCAAAGAATGCAAATCGATTTATACAATTTTATTTCAGTAATTGCTAGTTCAATCATGTTATTTTTGTGTTCATAATCACATCGTAACATTTATACAACATATTTGTAAGTTCCCACTAATTATCAGAGATTACAAATGAAACGACAACTTCAAAGTTGATTTTGTGCACGATTTCTATTTAATTTGTAGCAATACCGTAATGCAATATTCATATGTGCACTATTGGAATTATGTCATGTTAACCCATTCAAAATGGGTACTTTTTTTCAATACGTATTTAAGTCCTATTCGTGATATGTATGGTTCATTAGCTTTGATGTTATGTAATTATAACTTTTTTTTATATCTGTTTAATTCTGAGGGAGGTACACAAAATGATATTGTTTTTCAAGGAATCACTTATATTTGTGATTATACTTTTCTTCCTTAGGAAATTCTTACAGAATAAGGTATAAATAATATATTTTGTGAGATACATTGTTTTTAATTTGTTACGTATATTCTGCGGTAAAGTAACCGCTAAAATAAATGAATATAATTTTCATGTATACAAAAATTGTCTAGTTTACACATCTTTTTAAAGTTTCAAAGTTTCACATCTAGAATAGATTAGCATTCATTGTAATGTTTCCATCATAATTTAATTCAAGTTATTTTATATAGAAAGTGAAAAATTTTGTTGGGTTTGAGTTCAATATGCAAATGATAAATAAATTGAGCAAATTGTCTAAAAAGATCTTTTAAATTGATTTTGCGTATTATTCATAACATTTTAGATGTACTGTTAATTGATGAAATTTCAGAACATCAACTATATAGTATGTGGTGGTGGGATAGAAAGAAAGTATCTGAGTGTGTGAATGATGACGGAAGTACCATCCAAGGATTCTGGTGAAGGACTGCCTCGTCAACACGGAATCATGTCAGGTCCACCTCCACATCACTACAATCATCCACCACCTGACATTATGCCTAAAGGGCTTGTAATCAATGGTACACATTTACTTTGTTGTTAATATAAAATTATATTATTGTTTGCTTACATATTTTAAATATATTATGTACTTAAATGTAAATACGATATGTTCTTTTAATAGAGCAGATTTATTACAATGAATTACAAGATACGTACAATATGTGGAATTTTTAGGAGTGCCAGGGAGATTACGACAATTAGAGGCGCTGTTTGTTGGTGGTCCAGTACAAGGTGGTCGAGTGGGTCATACATTTTCTATTGAGACACTCATAGATATTTTACTAGTTCTTTATGATGAGTGTTGTAATTCCTCATTACGCAGAGAAAAAACAGTTTCCGACTTTATTGAATTTGGTAAAGAAATATTAAGATACTTTAATTCCTTTTATACATTTATGTATTATTCATTTGTATTCTTTTAAATTACAGTAAAACCTGTGGCTTCATGTATTAAGAGTTTGCAATTAGTACGTGAGGACTTTGATATTGTGAAAGTCATTGGAAGAGGTGCATTTGGAGAAGTGTGTGTTGTGAAGATGAGAGGCTCTGATAAAGTCTTTGCTATGAAAATCTTAAACAAGTGGGAAATGCTAAAGCGAGCAGAAACTACTTGCTTTAGAGAGGAACGTGATGTTTTGGTATATGGTGATCGCCGATGGATCACGAATCTCCATTATGCCTTTCAGGATGACAATAATTTGGTGAGCATTTTTTATTTCATTGATTTATTGGCTTCATACATAGTTATAACATGTTTGTGTCAAGACATATTGGCACACTTATATGTTTCTTTGATATTATGTTTGATGTAATGTATCCATTCCAGCATAGTTCATTGTTTTAAAACATAATTAGACAAAATTAGATATTCAACAATGTTTTATATACACTCATTTTTATAATTTAAAAAGTTATTTAACAAAATAAGATATAACTACGTCTATAAAGCCGAGTACACATCTGAACACTAACGCGTACGAGGCAAGCTGAGGCAGAACAAATGCTTCGTACTCAGATATGTACATGTAACGAATGAAATCGTCCGAGGCAATGAACGGACGGAATCTTGACGAATGACATTTGAACAGCCTCGGATGGTGTATTGAATGATCCGCGGCATTTTGCCGCACTTGCATTGCTTGTCCACCCTTGTATGTTCGTTTTGCCTCATACGCGTTCGCACTCAAATGTGTACTCGGCGTAATGAACTTGAATATATTTTCCTGTTGTTATTTAGTACCTGGTCATGGATTACTACTGTGGTGGGGACTTATTAACACTACTGAGCAAGTTTGAAGATCGACTTCCTGAAGATATGGCACGTTTCTACATAGCGGAGATGGTGTTGGCTATTGGATCCATACATGACTTGCGCTATGTTCATCGTGATATTAAACCAGATAATGTTCTGTTAGATGCTAATGGACATATTCGGTTAGCTGACTTTGGTTCGTGTTTGCGTCTTTTTGAAGATGGCACTGTACAAAGCAATGTTGCAGTTGGAACACCTGATTACATTTCACCAGAAATTCTCAGGGTAACGTGAAACATCTGCTGGTTTTATTTGTCATATTGTAAACGTTGCAATGGTTTTATAAAAAACTGTTTAATTGTCTACTTGTAGGCTATGGAAGATGGTCAAGGGAGATACGGGCCTGAATGCGATTGGTGGTCACTAGGAGTATGCATGTATGAAATGCTTTATGGGGAAACACCTTTCTACGCGGAATCTCTAGTCGAAACATATGGGAAAATAATGAATCACAAGGTAAACTACAGAATGAACGTTTCGATGATTATTTCGTTCAAAGCATTATAGTAAACTGTAGATAAAATACACTCAATATCATTTGCGTTGTTAGTACAATATGTTATAAAATTACTTGTCACATTGATTATAATAATCTTTTTCAATTTTAGAATTGTTTTGATTTTCCAACGGATGATATATATGACGTTTCCGAAGAAGCTAAGGACCTTATGAGAAAGTTAATATGCAGTTCTGAGTTTAGATTAGGTCAAAATGGCGTCGAAGATTTCAAGGTTTGTTATAAAATAGAAATAATTTGAAGTAAATCAGTGATTTCCGGGTGGTCCATTAAAAACCGAACATCTGAATATCTGCATTGGATTTGAAGATATGTGAAAATGTTTTTAATAATACTTGAAGGGTATTGTAGGCTACATATAAAGTAAGGAAAACTTGTTTCAAGCTCATTTTTTTTCTAGAGGTATCAAGGCTATCAATGGTTTTAAGATGGAACTGTTATTTTTTATTTAATTACATTACAGAGTTAATCAAGATGAAGTCAAGGATGTATGATACATTTGTATTTTCCTTGCAAATTTTTAAATAATATTGTTTATAAATTATTGGAACTCGTTTCGCTCGAGAATTTAATTTTCAGAAAAGTAAGATAACTCGCAATGTCTATCAACTTTACTAATCCACGTTTGTCACTATTTTTGTTCTTATGTAACATAATAAATGTTCAAAATTATAACCTTTAGAATCGACACAGATATCAAAACGTATGAACCTAGATTGCAAAGCTGTTTCAATGGTATCTGCTTGATTGCAATACAGGCCCTGATATATTCTTTCATGTTTTCTGAAGTAGCGGGAAATTCAGGATATACATCCTTAGCATTCTCCATTGAAAAAAAAAAACTAACGTTATTAAAGCTGATGAGCATGTTGGCCATTATATACATCCACGATATCCAATCCAACGATATGGGAAATTGAATTACAGTACGTGAAGAATGAGCCGAACAACTGTCATGATGATACCACATTGTCTGACAAGTGTCCAGCGGTACTGTACATTTTTCAAAAGAATTGGCAGAATTGCTGGTAAAACTCTTTTGTATTTTTCTCCATTTAATGTACTGCTAATGAAATACGGTCCAATAATTGCAGAATTCCCAGAATTCCGCAAAAGGTATTAACTTTTCATGGTGTTCGTTTGTCGATTTCTCTTAACTATCGCGGATTTTCGGGTAACCAATATGTATGTTCATTAAATTTACTTGCCCTTGATTGGTAAGAAAAAAGGCCACATTGGTGAGCAATGTTTTGTTGAAAAACTGCATCATTTCAAATTTGCTTCAGTTTCCACTGACATAAAACACATGGTAAAGTGATACATGAAAAGGATGAAATTTGTGGAAGTGAAGTATTGATAAAATGCTGGTGTGAGTAGTTCTACTTTCTCGTTGAATTTGTCTTGTGCTGTCATGAGGATTTTCGTGAATTGATGCCAGAGCGTTTCTTTCATTTTGTCCTTACGTTACACTCTTGGTCGTCACTCAGTGTTTGTTGTCGACAACCAGTTGCTCTGAATGTTTTAATGATATTACAGCACGTTGAAAGAGTTGGATAACGACATTCGGCAAATGTTTTTTCGTATAAACATATTGATTTCCTCAAATACAGCCTACTCTCATCACAAATGAAAATCATGGACTCTTTCCTCTTTTGAGTAACATATTTTGAACATAACAACATTCAGATAAACGTCACGAAACAACTGAGATTATCTTACCCCTTCGGAAGCAAGAAAACTAAGATTGTAGACGTGTATTAGTAAAGTTGATAGACATTATTAAGAGTTACCTTGTTTTTCGGAAATGAAGAACTCCCATGAGTTTCAATCATTTACAAGCAATATTATTTGAACATTTTCAAGGAAAATACTAAGGTATTGTACATAATTGAATTCGTGTTGATTTAATAAATGATTTATAATATAGTTCCGTTAAAAGAACAACATAGATGATCTTGATAGCTCTGGAAATAATTAGCTTGAAACGAAAGTTTTCCTTGCTTTAAATGTAGCCTGCAATACCTTTCAAATTTGATTAAAAACGTTTTCACATATCTTCTAATTCAAAATATTCAGGTATTCGGTTTTAAGTGGATGATCTGGTATACTCGTAACAAAACCTCCAAGATCTGTTATGAAAAAAAAAGCTGTATCTAACGAAGGATATGTATTACAGAAACATCCTTGGTTTGAAGGACTGAACTGGGATGCATTAAGAGATAGCACCGCTCCCTATGTTCCTGAAGTTTCTTCCCCCACCGACACATCTAATTTTGATGTTGACGATACTGATGTTCGAAGTTCCGATGCCGTTCCCCCGGCTGCTAATTCTGCTTTTTCGGCTTTACACCTTCCTTTTGTTGGATTCAGCTTTACACAAGGAAGGTATAGTTTCATTTTCAAGAAAGCAAAATCTACTAAATCTAACAGTACATATTAGGTCTACTGGAAAGTTCTGTCCGATAATGCCGTCTCAAGTTTCAATACAAACCGACAGAACTTTACGGTAAACCTAATATATTAAACCACTATTGACCCATGACATATCAGTCAACCGTTTTATAAATGGATTATTTTTATCAGTTGTGATCTTGTCATCGGTGGAAACAATGCAAATATCAATATAAACCTACTTTAGATTTTCAAATAATTACACGGTATTTAACGAAAATATTATTTTAATATTGAAAAATATAGAAGTATCCATTTATAAAGTAAAGAGAGTCAACTATTTTGAATCGCTGACGTCAAAGGCGAGGATATCACGTAAAATTCCTAACCACTTCAGCGAAACAAATTACATTTACAGCAAACACTAAGCCTGGGAGAAACGATAGATATTCACGTAATATGTCAGCCGGTCAATTTTTAATTTATCTTGCACTAAGAAAGGAGATCTAATCCAAAAGTCAATCTGCCAAAGCCAGTGACAGGCTTTAAGGTGATATGAAAGGTGTTGAGAAATTTAATCGATGTCGATAAAATAAAATTCATCTATACCCTTTTTGATAGTAATGCTATTCCGAATACTGAAGTGCTTTCGCGTCACGTTACCGACTTTTATATTTATGTTGAAGTTTTTTACAGTCTACGTTGAGAATTATACGAAATGAAGCATTCCATATGTCATTTCAGTAAAGTAATGATAAAGAGATTGCAGTAAAACTGTCGAAATCCCGAGAACTCATAACTGTTTATTTATAACGGACCAACGGCGCTATCTGTGCCATCTAGCTGCAACTAAATTTTTGCTCTAAAAATACGTGTTAGCCATGAGACAAGCCAGCATTTTTTCGCAATCGTTGGTGAAAGTATTTTTCATATCTTCCCATCTGATTCTGTAATATTCCATTACTACAGTATTCTAAATTGTTTGCGCTAGGTCCTGAAACTCTTCATTTTCTATTCTAAGCCTTCAAAATGCGTAAAAAATCAAAAACGTGCACGGACCACGTCATGTTGATTCTAGTCCATGATAAGTAAACAATGTTCCATAAAAATTGAAATTTCATGAGTTTCAGGACCTTTCTTAGGGCCTCCATATTAACTTGGTAAAATTTGAAACGAAACGGTACATCCAATTCGGAGAATACTTTCTCGAACGATTGGATCTCTTAGATACATATGGGCTGACTCTTTCATATTACCTTAAAAGCAATGATATATCAATAAATGCAATATCGACACAAACACTGACTGCCTGACTCATTTTACACATCTGATTATTTCGGCATCAATAACTTCACAAAAATATAAAAGGCCTTCCCGAATAGGGGAGGGGAATTTTCCAATGTTTTCGCTGTCCTTTTCACATGTTGATTCCACCAGATCTAACCAGAACCAGAATTCTAGTCTGCCATCGGATGGCAGACTAGAATTTTAATGGTACCAAAGTCATTGCCACCAACCATTTATTTAAATATTACATTAATGAACACAAAAAGAAAATAGAAATCCAAACTTCATTGAAAAAATATTCTTAATTACGTTCTGCCTAGAAATCGTTCAGAAATGTGAAAAATAATGCATTCATAATTGCATAACTTAATTCAGCTTACCAACACCCAAATTGATGTAAGGCAATGTTGCCAGCTCTCCGGAATCCATAATTGTCACTGAAGTAGAATGGTATCAATCGCTAGAATCTGGATTTCTTTCGTAGCTGAAAATCTTATTCAAGAATCGGTTGAGAAAGAATATAAAAGAAAGAAGACAGAGAGCAATTAAGTTCACAAATAAATACGCATACCTATTGAAAGACATCTCAAATTGGTGCATAGCAAGGTTGCCAATCCAATTCGTGGTTGCCATTTTAACGAAAACCAATAATTGCTGGAATTTGATCTTTTCACATGGCCCAAAATCTCGCGTTCGAGAGTCATTTGATAATCAGAGGGTCAGATATTCAAATCTCCAGTTCGAATAAGAAGTCCAAATAATAGGGCACATCTATCCAGCGTTCCCAAAAAATTCGTCATTAAAAATTCAGCGTATACCATACAAAATGGTGGAACATTGGGTCCATCATGAATGACAAATAACCTAGCGCGAAGAATGTTAGGTTTAGGAGAAAAGTCGATAGATCGATCTTTGTAATCTAACCTAACCTAACCTATTGTATATTTTTCATTTCGACTCGATATTTTTTATACTTCATATGTTTCATGACCAAACAATTCTAAATTAAAAATCAATGGGGACAATTAAGAATTACTTATCATGACGGGAAGAAATCATTATGTGGTATCATTCTCCCTTAAGAACTGGACTACTAATAATTTGTGATAACTTGGGTGTTTCAAAGCATTTATATTGTAAATGCTGCATTTTTAGAGTTTAATTTTTCTTAAAACCTTGCAGAATAATGCTTTATCATTTAAACAAATTATGAGCGATGCGCAGGATAGATCTAATGGTGGATGACGATGATTGCAACACGAAATATAATTGCACTCAGAGTTTAATCGTATTATGAGATAATGGAATAGAACTTTTATTACTACAACCTGGATCGCGTGTGAGAATCGGAAGGAATGTGTACGGGCACGCCGGGCGCTAATCCGGAAAAGACAAAAACACCCAGACAGGCGCCTCGTGGGGTGTCGCCATAATCAGGCGCAATCGACCGCGCGAATCGAAAATCAAATGCAAATTTTATACGAGATCCAACACCCCACTCAATCCAGTGGCGAGGTACTTTAAGAGTATGCTCATCCCACCCCCAATTAATCCACGCAATACATCAGTTGTCTGTTGGTCAGGGGCTTTGTGAGAACGTCGGCTATCATTTGGGTAGTGGGAACGGACTTCAACTTGCAAATGTTGTCCCTTGGTGGCGAATATCAATATGCTTTGAACAAGAATGAAATAGAGTTCTCCGCAAACATCTTAGCTCCACGATTATCGCATCTGATAGTGATGTCGGTTAACTTGTTGAATCCCAGCTCCCACAAAATAGTTTTCAGGCACTTCGGCTTTTTGGTAGCCTCGGCTGAAGCCATGTATTTGGCTTAGATAGACGAAAGTGTGACCTACGATAGGTCGTCCTGGTGGTCGATCAATAATTTCTCAGGTACCTTTTTATAGAACGTTACGAAGTTCACACATCACAGCACCGAGTCATTTTGCTGTTTGAGGACCCTTCTTGGCGCCTTCCAAACATAGGCCTCCTTCGTGAAATTTGCTCTATGGAAATCATTTTCCCCCACTCTACTCTCATTTTATCATCAGCACTTAAGAAACCGTCCGGATTGAAGGCTTGGACCTCGTCTCCGTCGAAAGCATCCTCCTCACTACCATTTTTACAATCGGCAGTATTAATACCCAAAAACGCGATCGGGCTGGGGGGTTCAAGGGTCATCTGTATCCCCGACACCTAAGTCGTCACCATCTGTACAGTCACTGATCCAGTACTGATGATGCTGGTCGTATCGTACCGCTTCTTAGTTCGACCACGGGACCCGATGCGAATAAGTTTGGGTCTCTCCTGTCTCTCCGTTGCGCGACGGCGTAGGGTCAATGGGTTCATCTACGCGCACGCTGGGTAAGGTCGGTAATAGACCGCTGGTTACCTCAAATTCCTGGGACTCTGTGATAGTACTACCTCCTAAGTCATCACTTGGCTTCCTTGTTATCCGAACAGATTGTCTTGTCGTCAGCCGTCCGCTATCATCCAGCAAGCGTACATCTAGGCTTAAAACTACCTGATGGTAAGATTGAATCCACACATGATAGCCCTTGGTCTGTTCTCAATACCTGAACAGTATGTCCTTCTTCGTTCGTGTATTAGACTTTCCTTTCTCAGGGGATTGTCGCTGCCTCGCGGGGTGTCGCCATATTCAGGTGTAACCGAGTGCGAGAATCGTAAATCAAACGCGACTCATACGAGATCCAACACCAATAATATTCTGTATAATTATTTCATATCGAGCACGAACGTGTGCTGAATATGCGTTTAAATCCCGCTCTTATGCCACGGTAAGACGCAGTAAGAAGTATGCTAGCAAAGAACCGTCGATGGTATAGTTGTAGGAACTGTCAGATTCAATTAAGGGGCAATGACATGTCATTTTCTCTGTGTTCGTTTTCATACCCACGAGAGCTGGGAGTGGCGAAACTTACAAGGAAACATTCCCAAGTGTCCCACCCCGATTTCGATAATTTTTATACATGTTGTAGAACTCGAAAATCTAAGGGATGCGTACTTTTTTTACGTGCTAAGTTTGATATCTAGGGGGTGAAATAACCCCTCAAAGTTTAATGAAAAAATCGTTTTTGTTTTTTCTTATTTCATAGAGGCACTCCACGGATTTCAGTGAAACTTGGCATAAATACATCTCGTGTAAGGAGGACCCAGAAACGATACCACCTTACACGGTTGTACCCCCTCGACCGGAGTAAACTACCCTTATCAAGAATTTTTTTTTTCGGCGACAAATGACTAGATCGAAATAAAAACTGCATGCCGATAATGCTTGCATTAAATAAGAGTTTACGTGTTTTTGGATTTTTCCGAAAAACCACTATTTAACACTATAAATAATAATCAAGGGCAGGTAATGTTTTTTTTATATAAACACTATATGGATTCATATGAAACTCGGTACGAATGTATTTCGTGTCAGTAAAAGCCATAAATGGTACCGTCCGACACGGGAACATCCCTTTAAAGGGGTGAGCTACCTTTGAAAAAGAAAAAAAATTTTTTTCGAAGATAATTGATCCGACTGAAATAGAAATTTTACGACGATGATTATAATGGAAAATAAGGGTTTATATGTTTTTAGTTTTCTTTCAAAAACCATTATGTAGCGTGATAAACATATATCAGTGACAGGCAGTATGTGCAATACTGCATTTCTGTCCGGTCGCGGCGTAATCATTTTATTCAAACATCTACATCAATTTGTTTTCACCGAAACTTCTTTCGGCCCGTACACATAAATTATCATTCCGTCCGCAAATACAAACCTTATCCTACATAAATTGTCTCGCAATACATTGTACAACGTTTTCGTCATGCATTAAAAATAAACCGCTACACCGTTCTTTATCACATCTTCGTGAGTCCAAAGACGGATCAGTTGTCGCTAGAAAAATACGTACGGAGGACTTGCAAACAACGCCAACATATATGTATACGATTATGGGTCGGTTAATAAATAAACGAATGGTACCGCAAGCAGATGTGTGACTCTTTATAAATTCGGTGCGTGCATTGCGGCTTAATAATCGTTAGACATTCGACACAATTGTGCCAGCGCGTTCCTATCTTCCAAACATGTCCGTAAATCGAATGAACGTGATTAATTTACTGCTTGCAACATTTCAAACAATGCATGTACCAACGACTGAACTGAATCACCAAGAAGTAATTCTAAAAGAATCGATTCAAACAATTCTTATGGACAGTACATTTGACTACAATGCTTTAGAAATAACCGAAGATTCTATATTGCATTGCGAAGAAGCCTATTTAGAAATGGATGCAGAA